TCTTACAATGGAGAAAACCTGGGCCTCTGAGAGGTCAACAGGAGTTGTTTAAATTGGCCAGTGGGAAAGGCTGGACTTGAAGTCAGGTGTAAGAGAACCACACTTCACTTTGTTGAGCACACAGTAAAGAGACAGATGGTGTAAGGACAGTCAGGGGTGGGGGTGCGGCTCACTTCTATTCCCTTTTCACATGCATTTTAATTAGGAAGCAGGAGGGTGGGTGCAAAGCTCAGACAGAGTACAGACAACTGCGCAGCAGTTCAGGGAAAATGTTCAGGTCACCATTCCCTCCTTACTCCTCCACACCCCAGCTCCTCACAACATACACCCTCCCCCCTCCTTCCCTCTACCCTTTTATAGTCAGACTACAATCCTTCTTCCAAAAATAAATCGGCCTAATGAGAAGCCAGAAAAAGCAAACCCTAAAAGTTTTATACTTTCATTATTCAGTTATGGGACATTAGTTGGACAGATTTATCATCACATTTTTATAAATTCCCCTACAAATAAATAATGCTAGGATATGCCCAAATTACTCTGGCCTCTTGACCCAACATGTTTTTGCAATTACTTGGCACTCCAACTGTATGCTACTTAAATTAGGTAACAGTCACCAAGTTATTTTTAGGCCATAGCAACACACACAGACACAGACACACATACTCACAAACAGACACACACACGCACAAAAACTCTGCTATACCTAGCTTGTTATTTGTACTCCTTTGGAAGAAGAGTCAAAATTATCTTTATACTGGCACTATCATTTCTGTTCAATCAATAGTAATGATAACATTGAGCTACACTTACTTACCATATAAGGAGGAACTATTCTGTATACTTTACACACAATCATTTAATTCTAGTACTGCCATAAACTAACACTGCAATTGCTATTGTTATCTCCTTTTTGTAAATGAGGAAACTAAGGAATTAAAAACTAAGGCAAATTGCTCACGGGCACAAAAAGAGAAAACCAAGACTAATTCAGGTCTACTGAATCCAAATTCTGCCTTAATTTTTCCACCTTTTATTGCACAGCTCATGTTTGGCATTTAGCCTTCCTTGGTGATTAATCAGAGGCTCAGAATAATAATAGTAAGTTTTTATTTCACATATCTTAAAAAATCCTCAGAACATCCCTGAGAGCCAAGGGGCAGGGAAGGGGGTTGTCAAAGGAGAGGTTTTTATTCATCCCTGAAAGCAAGTCAGAGATGGGAAGAATATTTTTCACAGGGTCTCTGATTTCTGAGCACAGCAATTTACATGGTCATTTAATTTTGTAATGTCTAGAAATGTATATTTCAGAATCCTTTTTGTTAGGGAAAAATGTGCAATCTATGTTGCTCATTTCTCAGGATTTTTGTAGTATAGAATCTAACTTCCTAGGTTATAGCTCCTAAACTATTTTCCTGGCCTTCCCTGTTCCACCCCCTAAAATGCCTCTGGTACAGAGCAGGCCTGTCAAAGATTATAGCCAGTCAGTCTTTGTTTTGTGTTAGCACAAGCAAGTACAGGCAAGGGCTCTGTCAAGATGAGCACCTGACACTGAAGTACTTAGTAGTAAAAAATGTCCATTCTATCCTATAAAATATTCCTACCGTTATTTAAATATTAAGTTTAAACATTAAACACATTTTAATATTTTCAAATACTCTCTATACTATAAACTATTTCAACAACAAGAAAAAAAGAGAAAGCAAATAGGGAAAAAAGTAATAATAGCTTATACTGATTAACAGGGTCAGTGATTATACACTTGCTATTTTTCTACATGTTTGAAAATATGTCATGATAAAAATTATAAGGCATATATTGCCATAAGGAGAAGGTGGCAGTAGACTATCTCTTCCTATATAGATAAAAGACAAATTATTTTTCTGAACCCAGCTTTGTTGAAGAAAAAAAAAGTAGCCTTATAAATATCAGAGCAAAAATGGTGGCTTTCTTTTATGGAAGGTCAAGAATTGTCTAGCCTTCTTATTCAATTTGGCCAAAAACCAAGTTAGAGTTGATTAGAAATTGACTTCAGGTAAAACAGACTGTAATTCTTTCAAAGACTTTGCAAATCCCTAACTATTTGTTCATTTGGATCATTTTCATCAGGTTGAGCTGAAGCAAAGGTCTGAGGCCATTTATTCTTCCAAGGATGAGAATAAAACATGAATTCAGACATAGGTCACAACAGGGAGGGGACTATAAATTAGAACAGTAACTTAATCCCAGGGGCTTCCGTGCCTCTGATCAGTTTCTTCCCAACCTGACACAGCATTACTAAAATGGCAACCCAGCAGCCGCTCGACTTGACAGGCAGCACCAAAAATGGAGAGCATGGCATTGAAACCGGGGGACATAAAACCTGGACAGGGAGGGTAGCAACCAGTGTGTACAAACATGAACCAGAGACTCAGATGGGTCAGGCATAAATTACTCCAGATTGTCCTGAAATTTTCTGGAAATAAACTTACAAGACCTACAAAGAAGTTTCTACCTTATATTCTAACTACCCCCCCACACACACACATCCTCCCTGGAAAAATCACTCATTCCAAAATGGTACCACGACTACTCTTGCTGAAATACAACCTTAAATCACAGAGGAAGGGGATTCCTAAAATAAATCTCAGAAGAGAAGCCACATCAGGATGGTCTTCTTGGCCCACTCAAGAACATGGGGGAAGTTGTTGACCATTTCTTTTGAGAAAGGCCCACCCCATTCTTCACCTTAATGCTGCTCTGATATTAACCTCGGTTTTGCCTAGATGAAAGGACAACAGGGACATTCTAATGAGGATCCATCCCTTTCTCTCATTCTTATCTTGGGTCCCAATTTTAGGCCATTCCATCAAAAGATATCAAATGAACAAAACAATTATCAAGAGTACRTTACAGACCCACTTGCTCCTGAACTATGTAAATTCAACCAAACTTCCAGGTATTTGAAGAAAAATCCCCCCCCGCAAATTACAAATAATCCAACCTCTACCACCAGAGCGTCTTCCAAGTTCACCGCTGCGCTGTCTCACCAACCCGAAAATGACGAGCCCTCTGCTGCGGACACCCAGGGCGCCTGGTGGTGAGGTCAGCAGCGTGTCCTGCCCCGCCCCACTGAGGCAACCTTGCTCTCTGACACTGAGGAACAAGCCCAGGCTGCCCGGATTCTCAGATGCATCCACAGGAAAGGGGAGAGGAACCCCATTTCATCAGCCGCCCTCAGGAGATTGATTTATCAATAATTGACAAGCCAACCTTCTACCCAACAGGCCCCTTGAAAAATGCAGGGTAAGATCTACAACTCCTCCTGATCATCCCCATGTTCAAGTTCAGGGTCATCTTATTTTCTGTTGCTTGGCATTTCTCCTCTGGTCATGCTGACACAAAAACCATGCCTTTTCTTTCTTTCTTTCTTTCTTTCTTTCTTTTTTTTTTTTTTAAATCAAGAATGTCTACAGAAGAAAAGAGACCAGCAAGACCATTTGTCTTTGTTCCCCAAGACAAACTATTACAAATGAGAAATAGGAAATTTGTAGATGGTATTTTCTCATCTGAAAAAGACAAACCAGGATTGTGGTGAGAGAACAGAAGCACAGAAGAAAGGTAAACCTACTGGGAAATACTAAAAGTCAACCAAACAAGAATACAAAACTAAAATACAGAGCTACACAGAGGAAACCTGAACATATTTGTGACTCCAAGTAAACCTTGAAAGATGTGCCCTTGTGATATCTGAGCCCAGTGAGAAAAAAAACTTGAGAATAAAGTGTTAAGTGGGTGTGGGAGGGGACTACTAGCAAAGGAATTCAGGACCATATTTCCAAGAACCCTGCTTACCAAAAGGCTGAAGACCTCTCATGGAAAACAAGAATAATGGTGGCAGAGCTGTCCCACAAAGCTAAAATAAGTAATTTGTTCACCTAATTCACCTGTTGCAATTTAAATATGCAAAGTGTTCAAAAGAACYCAGCAACACCTTTGATCAACACAGTTCAGGAGACAGGTTGGAGATGTGACCCAGAAACTGTGTACCTTGGCTCAAAACACAAGAAGAGAGAAGAAAAAGGATGACTATTTCTCATTACTGTCACCAAGTAGAAGATGCCAAAGAGAAACGAGGTGCAGTGTCTGAGAGCAAAGAATTGCAACTGGGCTGGACACAAGATCAAGGCTCCTCTGCTAGGTTAGATAATACTGTATGCAAGGGGCTCAGAGAAGAGTGGACAATTAATTCCTCCTCTTGGGGCTCAGCTTCACTAACCTCAGAGTTGTTCTACATTCAGTGTACTGGCAAGGTGACCTACTACTCCCTCTTGGGAGGAACCACCATGCCAATTGTTATCAGGTGAAGCCCAAAAAGCACAATGAGTTGGAAAGTGTTTCATAAAAATCTCTCTGTCCCCTTGGAGCTTTGGCAAAGGAATGGAGGTATTCTATGAACTTACACTTCCATTTTACAAATAAATCTCTGCCCTTCTTGAAGGTCATTTTATAAGCCATATAAAAGTCAAGCTGATCAGAGGTGAGAAAGAGGAAGAATCTCCCACAAAAAGAGCTGGTACCTGTCGGTTTACTTGTAGTTCATCAGAGTTGCTTCCTCTGTTTCATCAACATTGGTTAGGTCTGAGAGACAGCAACTTTCCCATTAGTTATGGACTGGAACAGAAAGCCACCAGACCAGGCATGACTTGAGACACCATCTGGTGGTATAAAGCCCCTTTTTAGAAGGATGACAAAACCGTCTCAGAGAGGTGAAATGACTTGCACAATGCAAATCAGAAGCCGAATCAAGGGTAGCACCCAGATCTTCTGACTTCCAACTCAGTGCTGCTGGATTTTTCTCACTATACCAAAATAATAAAGAAAGGGCATGGAAGAGAAGACAAGAAGAGAGTCTGTTTTGTTCTCTGGTAGCCAGGGTAAGGAGAAGGCTGCCACTGTTAGGAGAAACCCCAAAGTGAACCCAGCTAAACAGGACTGTGCTTGGGACAGAACAGGGGCATTACCTTTCAACACCAGAGGTTCTTTGCCTTCTCTCTTCAGGGACTCGAGGACTATGTGAAGCGGCTGGGAGGGCATCACTCGGCTCGGTTCATTGGTATTCTCATCATAAACTATAATTTCTTTGGAAAAGATCCTCTTGAAAGAGTCCTTGCCTTCCCTACAGGAAATCAAGTCTAGAACAGTGATCTTGCCTTGCTGCAGTCTCCGCCGRCTGATCTTATCGGCACAGTTAATATGGACAGCTCCTTGGATGTGACTTTTGTTGTACTCCATGAAGGGCCTGCAGTCAATGATGACAGGGCCCTGGCTTGGCAGGTGACTCTTGCTGCATTTGGTCATCTTCTTTGCCAGGTCATTGGGGTAGATTATTTTGATGCTGGCTAGCTGCTTGGGGGTCCCTGACACAGGGCTGCCCACCCCACCTGATGGACTTAAAGAGCCTGTATTCTCATTGTTGTTGACCATCTGGTTAGCAGGGCAGGTGGTAGAGGTTCCAATGGCGGTGGTGGCAGTGCCAGCAGCAATGGCTTGGGTTTGGGCCTGATTGTCCTTGTCGTAGGTTGCCACAGTGCAGCAGCTGGCACTGCTGCATCCACAATTCAGGGAGCGGGCAGAGCCGCTGGATGAGGGCATATACGTCAGATTCGCAGCCTTGAGGGACACAACTGTGGTGGCGATGACAGGACGGTGTCTATTGCTGCCTGGGGTGGCAGAGCCAAGATAGCTAGAGTCTAAACAAAGGTTGAGATCCTGAGGTCGGACGGGCCTAGATAGTGCCACTACTACCCTGTCGTCTAAAGGAGACGGAGGCATGAGGAGGCTGAAAACTGGCAATTCAAGAAGAACTCAAGAGTCTGTAAAGAAGGGGAAGGGGGAAAGAAAGAATAAAGTCATATGACACAAAAGGCAGTCTCATCCAATCCCGAGGGAAGGTCTTTGCATATTTCTGAGCAAAGTTGTCCTAGGTGCCCTTTTATATCCCACTATCAAAGCTCCAAACCCATTTAGATAAATTCAAAGAGGATGCAAACCTGAGGTCCCCGTCTATTTGGTTGCTGAGTGTAAGGTTATATTAGCCTTAATACTGGAAATGTTAATGAACAACCTTTTCCTGACTACATCAAAGTTCAGCCTTAGAGAAGGTAAAAGCACAAAGAATTAGAAAAGCTAAAGACAGAAAGAAAGGTTTTTAAGAGGCATCTATTCTGGGCCTCATCTCCTGGGCAGAAGTATACTGCGACTGAGAAAAAAACTCATCTGTTCACCCTTGCATGCTTTCCATTTAATTCCTTCACCCACTGCAAAGGCAAAGAGATGACCAAGAGCATTGGCATGGCTCACAGAAATATACAGCATCTAAATATACATCAGGGCGGATGTCAGCCTTCTGCAAATCAGAATGAAATTATCCCCGTAAGTGTCTCTTTAACTAGGAGCTATTCTTGCTTTCCATTCTATTAGGTCCTTTGAAAAGCACAACATAGCCATATTAAAACCCCACATGTTTCCTGTTAGCCTCTTATTAATCAGTCTGCATTTCCCCCTTTTACTACAAACTGGTGTCCTAAAACGAAGTCTCAAGCCAGAAAGCCAAGTCTCTAAACCTCAGCCCTAGCAGATCCATCACCATTGCTTCCCTGCCCACATTCGCCTCACTCTTTCCTCTGAGAAAAGGACCCCTTGGAGTCTCCTTCCCTCTTCATCTCCTGCATTGGCACAGGCTTTGTATCCTAGAGCTTCTCTCACTTGGAGCAGCTGATTTATATCAATTTCAATCCCAAACGGATACCCCCCCCTTTTGGTGAGAGTATGGCTTCCATATAGAGGACTTCAATTCCCYCTTCAACAGAGACAGGCTAATTGGGAAGTGTTTCCCACTGGGTCTACTTCAGAAGGTGCCTGAAAAGGGACAGTTCCTTCCTCCCTTGAGGCACAGGGTCACTGTACAACACAGCCCTTCTGGCTTCTCTCTTTCTAGTAGACATGCATACAGCAAAGAAACCAAATCCCAAGCTGCTCACTTAAAACGAACTTTAAGAGCTGCCTGGAAAAATGCCATCTATCATTCGTCCACACACAATCTTCACCATTCTCTGACACAGAGCCAAAGTGTCACAGGCAGAATCCACACACGCACGAACAGGAGCAATACCCACCATGCCGGCCAGCCAGCATATCCTTATAGACTCAGGTTTCTCTCACCCACCTTTGGATGGGAGCAAAGGATCCAACCTCCAACCTCCAACCTCCAACCTCCTCCACTCCCTTCCCTCCCTCTTCCCTTGCGTAGTATTTTTTTTTTTTTAAGAGCGAGTACTATTCCAGAAACTGTAACTGTTTCCCAGATGGACCGAGCGGTAAAAGTCTTTGCTATTTTGTTACCTAGTAGGGTAGTCCAGGATCAGCAGTCCACTTCTTTTGAGAGGGACACAAGAAACGTTCAAAGGGACACACGCGGGGACCCCCCACCTTCACCAAAGTGCGCGGCTCGCACACACGCACTGAGTGTATAGGGAAATCTGCATCTCTGCAGCAGAGGGTCGGGCGTGTATAGTGCCTGTGAAACCATTCAGTCTGGCCCAGGAAATCTCTTGGAGAAATACTGAGCTATCCCCTCTCCCTTGTTAGTCTCCCTTCCACCACTGGGCAGGGGCTGGAGAGAAAATTAAGTGGTTAGAGAATGTTCCTTTCCCACTCCTAGAGGCACTAATCATCCCCTTCCCTAGCCATACAGCGCACTCACAAGCCCCGGGCATTTAAAACTGCCGCAAAGCATCTCAACAAACCTCATTTTTGCTTCACCCCAAATCCAAGTAGACTGCAGAGAGTAAAACGCACAGGGCAACGGGAGCCAACAGCCCGAACCTTATAATCTTACCTGCTGTGGCTCCTCCGTCAGCATCACATCTCTGTCTCCGTTTCTTTCTCTCTCCTCTCTCTATCTCTCTATCTCTCTCTCATACACACACATACACACACACGCACACACACACAAACACGCGCGCGCGCACGCACATAAACACGCACCGCTTTACAATCCTCCACCTCCACTCCTGGGCTCCGAGTAGCAACTGCGGTGACTTCCACTTACTTCATAAATAAGTGTAGCCCTCCACCATCTGGCGCTCGGCTTCAGCTAAGGACTGGCACATTCAGCCCCCATTCACTTGGCTTCATTGATCTCCAGCAGCAACATAGTTACTTTCTCTTTTGCTACACTGTAAATGTAAGGTTCTGAGGGGGCAGGCCGGCCTTCGAACGACGGCGCGTTGGGCCAATAAGAATCCGGAGAAAGACGACCGCTACCTCACAGAGACCCACAGCCAATGGGCAACCGAGGGGGAGGAGCTGAAGGCGTGGCCTCGTCCCTTTAAGGAGGGTTGATCCGACGCCGCTTCGGGTCCTCTGTGTTATAACACGGGAGGTGATGTCATTGGCAACCAATCAAAAACTTAWAAGAGCCAGTCGGAGCCCGCGCGGAGCAGCTGCTCTCTATTTACATGTAAACCGACCCGGCAGGATGCAATTAACCCTTTCCGGGGCTGAAGTGTCAGTGGCCAGCGCTCGCCGCGCCGGCTAAAACTGGTTCTCTCTACTTTCGGGAATCCTCCGACACCGATCCATTCAGAGGCAGACCACGATGTCTTTATTTTTCCTTCTTAGGATTGATGATCCAAAGTGTTGAACTAACTTTCTAAAAGCCAGGGACAAAGCGTAATCTCCGTTCCTAATGGGAAAGCCGGGTTCTCCGAGTCGCTCGAGGTGACCGGACAAACCCAAGCCCAAGATCCACGGACAGCACCGAGTTTTGAGACCTGGGGCGGGTGTGAGCGCGTAGCCAGGGGCGCGGGGCAAGGGGCGTCGCTGCTCCTCCCGCCGGTCGCCCTAGGGAAGTGCGGCCCGCCTAGCCTCATCGCTCCGGTGTCCTCGGGCAGCCCCCGCTCAGCCTCGCGACCACGCAGAGTTGGTCGGCCGCTCCTTGACCCGCAGATGTCGCTGCCCCTCCGGCTGCCCCATTGCTTTCCGGCGCTGCGGCAGCCCGTTGTCCTCCGGCTCCCCTTCTTCCCAGCCCCGGTTACGCCGCCGCCATCCCCGGCTTGGCCCCTGGAGCTTGACTGCAAGCACACAGGCGACGCTCGGGAGGGCTGCTTGGAGGAAAAGGCTTGGGTAAAAGCCAGAGGCCACCCAGGTGGCGGCGCTCTGAGCTACAGCACCTGCACCATCCCCCAAAGCCCTAGGTTCCGGGGCCCGTCGCGCGCGCTACACTTCCCCGAAGCCCGGCCTAGGCCCCTGCAGGCTGCCTGCTCCTGCTCTTCCCTGTACCCAGGGTCCCGGAGCTGTGCCGGCGGCCCACAGGCCACCCGCGCTCCGCTCCTCGGCCGTCGCTCCTCCACCCCGCAAAGCTACAGGCGAGCCAAGGACCGCCAGCCTGGCGCTTCTGGAACAGCCAGTGCGGGCAGAAAAAAGCCAGAGCCAAGAGTAAATAGCCAAATTGAATGGAGCTGGAGGAGCATGGAGGAGGCGACGCCGCCTCTCCCAGTTCACTGGACTTTTGCCGGTAGTGAGTTCGCAGGCCTCCGTACGCATCTCGAGAAGAAAAGTGGAAAGCTGGGTAAACTGCCTAGCGCTTCAACAGAAAAATCTCAGGGAAACTGCAGAAATTTGGCCTGGAATAAAAAAAGGAGTGGACAAGCCCAGATGAACTGTTAAAGAGTTTACATCAAAGAATCTTTAAGAACTGAAAAGCTTCTTCTGTCCACCCCTTTTTGTCTCCTCTTTGCTCAGAGAGAAAAGGGGAAATACTGAAATAATTACAATAGAATAATACATTGTGAACACTCTGCAATATTTGATTTTTTCTTTGATCTAATTGGAAATGTTTGGAGGGGTACCTCAGATGCCAGGTCTAATAAGTATATGAAGAGACAGGGACTTATCCTTAAAGTTAAGATCTAAAATCAGAAAGTGCTAAGCCATTGCTGGCCAACTATCCTCAGTTGAGGTGTTTTAAGAGAAATCCCCTTGAGTACTTGCACATGGATGCAGGCATAGACACAGTTCATCTTCCCACACACACCAGAGTTTCAATGCACATCAGATGTATCTAATCTCTTTAAATAGGATGGGATTTTGTGTAGCTCCCTCCTCATGCACAATCCAACACACACACATTCATTCCCTTAATGACAACTAATGAGTACTCAGCTCCCAATAGTTGGTCCTTGCACCTTTGAATTTCAGCAAATTGTGGCCAGGAAAGTTGGATTCTAGGTAATTTCCCTAGGACTCAGATAAGAACTTCCTGGAAAGATCTACCATGGATCTATTTGGAGCTGAAAAACTACAAATCTTTTCCTAAGCACATACAATTATTGAAAAAAAAATGTTCACTGATTCTGGGAAAATTCTAAATCCTGATTCTGACTGCCTTGTATCTGATCAGTCAGTCACTGTGTTCATTTATGTATCTGTAAAATGGTAGTACACCAGTTCAGAACAAAAAGTACTCAGGCAAGCGAGAGGGGAAAAATGATTCTCTTTTTGATATTCAGTATCAAAGGGTATTCAGTTAGAAATCATTGTACTTGCTTTAGAAAATGGAGTGCCTCTATATAAAGGCACTGGTAATCTATAAATCATGAATTCATTGTTAATACCTCAGTATTTAAGCCCAAATAAAGTAGGAATTTATACAATTGCAGAAGAGTTCTTCTTTTCCACAAAGCCCCAATGAGGAAAGTAACTTCAAAAAGAAATATAACTCATTTAATGCAATGATTATTTGATTATAGTTTCAAACTAGTGAATTTATAATTCGGTTGACTAAGATGACATCTTGAAAGTGTGCATTTTATATTCAAATTATAGTCATAGGAAAAAAAAACTCTTCTAAGTTTCTTTTGTATAAAAAGAGGTGATTTTGTTCCTGTTTTTGAGTCATGAGTGAAAACACTATTTAAAATACTGCCCTCAGGTTTAAATATGTATTATCAGTCAATCAATGGCCATGAACCTGTTCTGCATACAGAGAACCAGAAGAGTCTGAACATTTCAGTTTTAGTCCCAGGGAAACAATGAAAAATCTTCACTGTATTTGAGTGTTGTTACATGATTATATTGGATCATAGCTTCACACAGCACAAGAAAAGTACAATTTCTTTCAGCATAAAATGCCATGTATTAAAGCCAAAAGAAAAATGAAGACAACTTAGGCCAGATATGATGTTTGATATGGATAGTGTTAAACAAATGTGTTAATTAAATTACTTCCTTTATGTACATTGAGATTGTTGAGTATTTGGGACAATTGCAAAAACATGGAATCTTCAAAATAATACTCAAGGTCCAGGTAGATTCAGGGAGATTCTATAATTAAGTCAGAGTAAGGCTTACCAATAATTTAGCAATAATAAATCCCAGGATAAAGATGATCTTAAATCAACACGAAGTAGGGAATGAGCTAAGGAATAGAAAAGTGAGATGTAGAGCAATTGAGGTCATTGGGCCAGCACTCTCCAAGTCTAGGGGAGTGCTGGAGAAAGAGAAGAACGCTGGAGGAAGTGGCTGCTGTGGTCTGCATGTGTCACTTCAAATTCACAAGTTACTTAGTCACCACTGCGATAGTGGAGAGGTGGAGCCTTTTGGAGGGGATTAAGTCATGAAGACAAAGCCCTCATTGGGTAGGAATAGGGAGTGGATTCACTCATTTCCTTCCATCCTTCCTTCCATCCCTCCTATGAGAACACAGCATTCTTCACCTCTAGAGTTCAGGGCAGCAAGGTATCACCTTGGAAGCAGAGACCAGACCTTTGCCGGATTTGGAAGCTGCTAGTACTTTAGTTTTAGAGTCCTTCCAACTATGACAAACACATTTCTATTCTTTATAAATTACCCAGTCTCAGATATTTGGTTCTAACAGCAGAACTGGACTTGACACAGTGACCAATGCCGGGATAGAACAGAAGCAGGACCAAGTGCTTTTGTCCTTATCCACATTTGGGTACAGGAGGCCTGCAGGCCTTCCTCACCTGAATTCATGAGCAGGAGCATTTGTGCCTGGGGAAAGGCTCTGTGTCTCTGTGTTTGAGTATGGTAACCATTTGACATATGAGATTATTCAATGCTTGAAATGAGACTACTTGAATTAAGATGTGTGAGAAGTTTAACACATGTTAGATTTTGAAAACTTCATAAAATATGTAAAATATCTCAGTTATTTTTATATTGATAACAGGTTGAATTATTTATTTTTTAGATATGTTAAGTAAAATGCTATTAAAATTAATTCTATCTATTTATTTTACATACAAGATGGCCATTAAAAAATCTTTAAGACTTAGGCAATTTATTTATTTCTGTTGGACAGTACTGTTGTAGAACTTATAATTGCTTCTTTGATTTGGGTCACTTTGATGCCAAAGGCACCAGAATCACAGAATATTAGATGTGGGTGGGACTTCACAGCTTATCTAGGCCAGTGGTTCTTAAACTGTGTTAGTATGATCCAGGGGGAGATGGGATACCAATATAAGTGGGGGTAATTGAAGCTGGAGCCAGGGTTGGCTGGTGGGGTTCCTTAGCCACACTCTTATCCCTTACCCCTTCATACTTGTTAGAGATAGAGATATAATGTTTTGTTCAGGAGACTCCAAAATAAAATATCATTTAATGAAAAGATCCTGGTTGTTCTTTTGGTTCTACTTTGGTGTTTAATCCTTGCCCCTTGTTTTACCTATAAGGCAATTTGAGGCCCAGAGAATGGAGACCGCATGGAGAAAGTCAAGCTTGATCTCAAAGTCCAGTGTGGCCTCTACTGGCCACTCAGAGGTGACTGACTGGATAGGGGGATCAGTGAACTCCCTGTCTTCACTTAGGCAGGCAGATCACCTTTCTAGGAAGTCCAGTTCTTTCACTAATCCCCCGTTTGTGACTTCACAAACACTTGCTGCTTTTTTTGTCAGAGGATTCTGCCTAGGTCCAGGTATGTGAACCCCTGGCATAAACTTATTTTCTTTATGTAAATAAAAAACGAAAACTAACTTCTGGATCATGAGTCTCTGGCAAGGCTCTCCTCTGTGGTGGATGACCTATTATTATTTATTATGTGTTACTACATCAAAGCCTTGTTTACCTTTGCCCCTCTACCAAGCTGAGCACTCCTGTTTTATCCTTAGAAGATGCCTCCAGAACCTCAGTCTCTGACTTTAATAGTCACAGCTGAAGTGTATTGTGAGATGTGAAGTTGAAAGACAAGCAGGCATTCTAAGCAGTCTCAAACTCCT